ATGTGCAAGTAAACATGTTCATAATAGTGGATGAGCCCTTGAGCTTTAGGGTGAAAAAACCCCATTGGGGCTTATTCATAACAAGGTCTAGTTTCTAAGCGTGACATTGAGATTTAGATGGTATAGAGATTGAGATTTACAGAATAAGCCCTGATGCCCAAGCTGTGACCTAAGGGCTGCATACAGGCAACCATCGGACTTCAGCAGTCATTAGTGGGAAAATTGATTAGAGTACCAGTAATAGCTTTGATCTCTACTAGCTTCATGTAACAAGTCCCTAGTTTTGCAACGTCTTCCACAGCATATCCTCAGCCTAAAATATAGCATTTCTATCATCTTTGACCCTTGTTTCCTTTTTTAGATCTGCAGAATCTGACAATCCTCTCACGCATTAGATACTGTGACTTTGGTGATGTCAGTGGCTGCATTTGAGCCACCCCACCCTTTAACTCATAAGTTGACAACCACTAAATGAAGGTACTGTATACTTTATTTTTTGCCTCTAATTTTTTGGCATTTTGTGATGAACCCTTACTCTTCTGTGTAGTGTGTATAGAATATTAAGACAGAGCAGATTTTGGTTTAGCTCTAGGTATATATACCAGACAAGTCCAGGTAGTGGAGTCCAGGGAGTAGAGCTTGCGTGGAAAAGGGAAAACTCTAAGGAGAACAGTAGAACTGAACCACGTAGGGTATGACCTGACTATGGATGCACTAATAATCTAATACAACAAAATCACATTCTTAGGACATCTTGGCTAGAGAAATCAATTTATTTATCTTCCATGGCAACTTGGCACTTTTGGCATGGCCACAAATGCTAAATGATGAAAATCATAGCAATCTTATAAATATGAAAGCTTTCATACTTTAGAATTGCTGCCACCATTATGAAACACAAAGGAGCAGTATAGGATTGTAATGCATTGCAACCAGAGACACCAGTCTTCGGAGGTTTAAAGTGGTAAGACTAATGGATTCTTATCTTTGATTGGTTGCTATAGATACTATATACTGTATTATTGCACTTGTATAAAGCAGGAGATAAGAGGCAAATGGCTCTTTATTGTTTAAAAAAAGCAGCAATAGTATAGATTGTAGATGTTTTGTGATTATGGCATGGATGGTTGGTGCATGTGTAAACAAATGACTTGTTTAATAACTTTGAACGGTTCTCAAGTTAGGACATTATTGTAAGTACTGAAAAGGCTTCCATAAGGTACTCCAAAGGCCTACATAATTGGTATCTTCTGCTAGTGGGGACCCCTTCCTTCAGTTCTGGGGGTCTGTGATCTAAATACTGTAAAGCAATGCTGGTAATCCAGAATCTCAATGCCATAGAGCTAAACCAGAAACAGGCCACTTCCCTGCATCACTTCAAGGGATTTGATCTAACTTCTGACCCACAGTCCCACTGCCTGACATATTCCACACCATCACATGTCATATCTGCAATTTTGTTCTACTAGCTGCAATTTTGTAAGTTAATAAATAACTGAACTGTAGAGTTCACATATTTGAAGGAATAAAGTATGCATGTCTACGTCCAGTAACATTAAGATGGAAAGTCAAGTTGTCTAAGGCTTCTGGTTGTGAAATCACTGGGTACCAGCCAAGCCTCACAGCATTAGTAAAGAAACATTCTGAAACAGCTCACTAGGACAGACCTAATGAGCAAAATTTCTGGAACTTCTACTTATACAGAGGTAATTCCTTAACCAGTTCTTGAAAAGGTTCTTGTACCATCACACATTTTTCTGAGTTCCTAAAAATGTATAGTCTGACTGATTCTGATGCTTTTCCAGAGAATGACATAGAGGTAGACAAGCATTCTTCAGGAAAATGTCTCCACCACAACCATATAGACTGTTTATTAGGGACAAAGCTTACTGAGAATGTAACTGCTCTTTTGGGAAATCAAAAAAGGGATTTTTTTCTGTTTCTTTCCCATGAGATTTCAACATGGCAAAAATATCAAACCAGGTCTATTTAAGTTCATCATCTTTCATTTTTTTCCCACAATGTTTGTCAATATCATATCCAACCCTTATAACCAGTTGCAATCCATCATTTAAGATGAAGGAAAGACGAAGATTAACATATATTCTTTTCTCCCACAAATCCATATTTTTAGCATTTGATTTGATTCTCTTCAGTATTGAAATGTTCCTTTTTAAAATGTTTATAACATGGAGCGAAAAAAAAATTGTGGTAAAGAACAGTTAAATGAAAAGCACAATATTTAGAAATATCCCTATCCCTATATTTTCAGCCTAATCATTGATGTTTTTTATGTAATTGTTACTGTAAGTATGGCTGGCGTACTTATTGGATAGCTAGACCTGACTTATATAAGTTTTGTACAATCTGAATGTTCAAAACCCAAGCTGCAAGGTCAGATAATGCCAAAATGGAACTGGTTGTAAAGATATCACTTTAGAGGCAGTGGCAATTATTGTAAATGTCCCCACCTTATCTTAGGACAGTGCATTTTGTTCAACATACATTGCATATTCAGTATATAATGCAAGAAACAAATCGTAACAACTGAAAGCAACCAATCAGAATTCCATTTAATCACACTGGGTTCTGATTTGTTGTTGTAAGGCCTGTATTTTTGATTTGGTGTTTACCTCCTTGCACTATTTTATGAATAAGCCTAAAAGTGTACAAATAGCTTCCCAATTCCTGAAAATTATATCACTCGTATCTGAGCTAAGTAAACCTTTGAATCTATGCTCACAATAGCTATGTAGCACATCAGTGATGCAGTGCATGCTGCAGTTTAGCAGGAGAATGACATTATTGAAAAAATAAAAAGTTGTTTGTTAGAATGTCCAGTAAGATCAATCTGTGACCAGAATATTCTGAAGGTTTAGTCATGGTTCAAAAGAACTGCCAAAATTCTAATGCTGTTAGAAAAATGACTTTTTGAGAGCTGATTACTATAAGGATGAATGCCAGAATGGTAGTCATACAGTTTGATCCCATTCAAGATATGTACTCATCTGATACAATTTAGTAGGTCCAAAGACCTACTAGAGATATATATTCATGTATATATAAGAGTTTGGGGTCTTAGTCTAGAGATCATCCACCAAGCATTTAGAAAGTCAATCGACAAAGAGAAAGAAAGACCTTTTAGCTGATTAGAAAGGGTTCAATTCAGATCACATACAGTTTCAAACACAGTATGCTCAAGCAAAGCATTCAAGACTGCCAGTTCCAGGAACTGATGTCAATATGGATAGTATAAAAAATAAGTGGGTCTCTGTGTAGACACTGTATATACATTGTCATATAGCTGGCCCTGACAATTGAGCATTAACGTTAAATGTATCAAAGTCATTCTTCTGTGTAAATCTCATACAGAATCTTAATTTTGTCTCCTACAAATGACAAGCTAGATCAGCATCATACATCTGCGTTCATAACTTATCCCAGTATCCCAGTCCAAATACCCCAATCCCAAGTTTTCAAAGGAAAACAAAACACATAAATGTTTGATCAAGTCTTTTTTTTCTGTAAACAGAAAAGAGATGACTTCTATCACACAAGTTAAGTTCAGCGTGTGTAATTTGACATATTGTACATCAGACGGGTTTATTCAGCGTTGCCAATTTTGGAACAGCAGCCAAGCAGATAACACAAGAGAAGGGCAACGTTGTCAGGGCCGATCAGCTGGCAAGGTGTGGGATTTCATCCACCCAGTTGTCTTTCAACCAACAGGGGGCGTTCAGCAAACTCCTTTATAGAGTGTGTTGCAGTGAGCTCAGAATACCTACAGCGTGCCAGCTTACTGCCCAGCATCACGCTGTACAGATGTGCCCTGTCATCCCTTGCCCATTTCATAGACATTCAACAGTGCCAGCTGCTCATTCTAAATGTCCAATATGAGTGTACAAGAAATACCATCTTTTGCTTTATAATTATTATCATTATTAAAATACATATTTAAAAAAATGAACCATTCGTTTATATAACCAAGTAAGCCCAAAATTACCAGCATGAAATTAACAAACATAAAAAAGAAAAATAAAGACACAACATGTGCTTAGCTGCCTTTAACCCATTCAGTAAAGAATGGGTTAAAACAGCTCAGCTTCCCTGAGCAATCAGGCGTGGAATACTGAAAGGATTTTTGTGTAACCTCAGCGGCCAGTCCAGTGTCCGTGGATTTTGCTTGTCTCTGCACCGACAGGAAAAAGATTTTTCTTAATGTGCTAAGAAGCTGTAAATGCATTTTCATTTGTTTGAGTTCAATATAGTTTTGGTTTTATTGGTCCGCATAGGAATGAGTTACAAAATGGACTGGTCGACTGTCAACCGTTCAGAAGTAAGGCAGTCTTATCTTTCCATAAGGCAAATCATATATAATGTATCAAAATGTTAGTAAAAGGAAACATGGTCTTTATCATTTTCTGTTCTCCGTGAAACAAGGAAACAAAAACTGAGTGGTTATCTTTGGCTTAGCTCCTCTTGATTTCCAGACACAAAATTGTATGTTTTTGTACTGTTGTTTGTTTGATTTATCCTGTTTTATTATATGACAAATCCTTTCATTAGTCCATAAAAAGACTTAGAGATAATGGCAAACAAATCACACAACAGGCACAGAATGCCCTTTTCATCAAATGATCTCTAGGGTTTTGTCCCTAACTGCCCCACTTGGCAAACACACTCTCCTGCCATGGAAAAATAGGCTTATTCAAATTTCATTCTTGAACGAACTTCCTTCACGTCCCAGCTCCCAGGGAAGAAAAATAAATTTAAAAAAAACAACCCTTTTTTCCTGCTGTATTCAATTAAACCAACCTTACACCAAAGTGGATTAAAAAAACAACAGTGATAACAATGAAATGTATTAAAAAATACTCAAAAGTTTTGTATCTAGCCTGATAATTCATCTTAGAGATTGAGAAAGACTCAAGTCACAGACTCCTACCTCGACTCTCAACAGCAGCAAAATGTTTAGAATTTAAAGTTTTTTTTTCGAGTTTTCATACCTCACATTCCCGGGAGCCAGAGATTGTATATGTACAGGGTCCTGATCCATTTACCAATACATCCATGGGTTCTGTGTTGGATGGTTTGTAGTCCACATAGTACTCCTGTAATGGGGAGCTTATCTGTCTTTCGGACTCTCTGGCCTTTTTCCTTCTCCTTTTCATCATTGAGCTTTGTTGCAGTTGCTTCATGCTGGCTGGATATCGTTTCCACGATACATAAATGACAAGTAAAATCATGGCCACAGATAAGAAAAGGGCCACACTTCCAGCTATGATTTTATGGAAAGAAACATGCTCGTATTCTTGTTCAGCCACCGGTGTCTGCAGACCTGAGGAAGGGCTAGGAGTGTATAAAGTTGGTGGAACGCTCTCCAACTTGTAGACAGTAGGCTTGGGAACAAACTGGGGCTTAGGGGGTGCTTTGGTTGTCTGATAAGCTCTTTCAGTCACCAACACAGGGGTTTCATTACAGATATTGTAGGTTTCCACAGCATCAATAACTTTCTCACCTTGGATGTGTTTAGGTCCAGCACATATCATGGTGGTCTCCTTGTTTCCCTTAAAGTTCTTGAGCCAGAACACCAGAGGGCAAATAGTTTTGCTGCATTCCCACATGTTTCCAGAAAGAGTTATAGAGGTCAGAGATATCCAAGCATTTATGGTTTCCTGGGTGACATTGGTGAGTTTATTTGAATCCAGATTGAGCTTCTGTAAATTAGGGAGACATTGAAAGGTCCCAGGTTCTATGCTCTGTATGTCATTTCCTGACAGGTCAAGGTTGTGCAGTGCACTCCAAGTCCAGCTTAATCCTTGACTAATAGATCTAATCCTATTCCACTGCAAGTAAAGAGAATGTAAGTTGAAGAGGCGAGGAAAGTGGGCAAAGTTCACCTTTGAAAATTGGTTGTGTTCCAGATGGAGCTCCTTTAGCTTCAGGAGACCAGCAAAGGCATTGCGAGACAAGCTCCTGAGCCGGTTATATCCCACATCCAAAAATTCCATATTTCGACAGTCCTGAAAAACCCGAACTGGCACTGTTTTCAGTGAGTTGGACCTTAGGTGAAGGCTTAAAAGCTTTCGAAGACCTTTGAACTGCTCAGATTGAAGCATCTGCAGTTTGTTGTAGGATAGATCCAAATTTCTCAGGTTGGGGACAGGGTGAAAAGTGGTGTTGGCTAGGTTAGTGATTTTGTTAGAGCTCAGAATGAGCTCCTTTAGCCGCCTGATACCCTGGAAGGCATCCTCATCCACCGAATTAATGTAATTGTGGTCAAGGTAAAGCCAGACCAGTTGGTTAAGTCCGGAGAACTGGTTAGACTTCAACTTTTGGATGCTGTTGTAACGTAGAGACAATCCCTGGGAGCCACCTGAAATATTCTGAGGAATGTCTTTAAAGGCATGGGATTCACAATAGACAATTTTCCCATCACACCGGCAGTTCTTTGGACAAGTTTTCTGTGCCCCAACAACAATCACCACGGTGAGTACAGGTAACAGAAGCAGCGTTAAACTCATGCCTTTCAGCTGATTAATCAGTTGGAACCCTGCAGCATGGTGAAAAAAAAAACAACATGTATTGAAATCTATGAACCTTAAGAGAGACATTGACAGAATGAATTCTATTTCACTAAAATCCCTTAAGCAGTGCAATGATTAATTGTTTTAAATTAAATCTTATCAAATAAAATAATCCTGGCTTTCCCTAAGCCTCTTGACCGTTATGTTGGAAACACTGTCTTCCTTGAAGGAAAATCCGAAGCTGTGCAGACAGCCCCATTAAACAGGGGTCTTCATTTCTGGTGCCAGACTGCACCATCCTGATTCCCAAATAGATCACCACACCCCTGGATTGGGATTCATCACTTTTGGTACAACATCTACACAGAAAGTAATTTATGAAAACAGCATTATTTAAACATATACATTGTTATTCTGGGGTAGTTGTATGCACTAAATACATCTGTGCACTTGCTTATCAAGGGGTGTCATCAAAACCATATATATGTCCTTTGTATGTACATGGGTATGTAATATATTAGTGGAAAGACAAGATTTATTGAGAAGTATTATATGATTAGCCAATGCACGTTAGTTTTAATGAAGTTGAAATAAGCCCTGGGACTAACGGTTAAAAGAAAAGGACCATGGGGAAAGTAAGGGTTAACACTGAATGAAATGTCCTTTTTTTCTTGAATGCAACTCCTAGTGGCTGGAATTTAATTAAAGTGATGCAGTGTTTGCATATTGTTGCTCCTAACGAGCAATATATAAGGGGGGAGATACAGCAGATGCATCAATGTCATTTAACCCTTTCTTCATTGGTGAATAGGTATAAATCCCAAATTAATGAAAAAGAACATATTTTAACCCTTTATTTTTAGTCTGATTTATGTCTGTCTGTTGGATTTCAAAGGGAGAACAAGGAGTGTATCTGACCTTGCTACTCATACTAGTGATAGTACTAGCCAACCAGAAAATTTGGACAGAGAATCCAAATATTTGCTTGCAAAGGGATCAGTAAAAGGATTGCAGAGGGCAGGTTAGATATTAGTGTTGCAGACTAAGAGAGATTAGAGATGTGACAGTGAATTTTTTTTTGGGGGGGGGGGGTGCAGTTCCATCTCTTTTAGCTCCATTGCCTCTAGTTAGCTTTGTTGACAGCAGGATATTTCTATAGTCTAGACGGGTCAGTGCAAGGAGGGAAATGGTTAAAATGGTAAAAACCCAGCTGGCATCTACGTGTTGTCTACTAGTAAAGGAGCTTCTCTATGACTGTGCAATGAATGCATCAGATTCAGGAGCTGTGGATGAATCCTCTGGCACTGTAGAGGAAGCCTGCATAGTACATATACCCTTTCCAAATCTGGCACGCTATAGGCAAGACGCTGGCTCAGTCTCTAAGACGGTGCATGGATGGGGAGCCATGCAACACACAGGCACTGAACAATGTGCAACTTCCGCACCAAGCCCTTCAAAAGGGATCAAGTTTGGGCAACAAACTGAAATGTAAAAGATTGAATGCCATGCAGTAGAGGCAATAATACTGCATGAGTGTCTCAGCACAACTCTGCATATGAATATATATTATACTATATGGCTAAAAATGCCTACCTGCTACCTGCTGCTGCCTACAGGTGCAAAACTCTGCAACCTTTGCCTACAATGTTCTACAGATGCCTGCATTGTATCATCTGATATCTGCATATAGATCTACATACAGACAATTAAGGAGCGAACAAGCAGAGCATCTGTATAAATGAGATTTCCACGTACTGCTGAATATACAGGTATTTCCATTTTACATGTCGCATCGAATGCACAAGGGCTAACATCCCCCTTGTGTGTGGGCTTTTTTTTTCAGGCATGCTAAGATTAAATAGAGCAATTAAAGGCAAAGCTTGGATTGACATACATGAACAGTCTTTGTGAGCAGCAAAGCAGAAAAAACTTCACTCACCCATCCTCCGTCACCCTGCGATTCCTTCGTCCTTTCCTCAGAGATCGTCTCTGGAAAAATGTTTCTTATTCTGCCTGTTAATTAGGAGGCAGCTATTCGTTCATGGTCCATACAGGTCTCTGTGTCAAACCATCCTGTTGTCAGACTCAGCCCCCCCCTCCCTTTGCTGTATGGATATAGGGTATATATATATTTTCTTTTTTTTATTGCAAAGTTTATCTCCTTGTTGTCTTCATAGGGTTTCCAATGAAGAATAGAAGAAAGAAGTCTCCAATAAAAGAGAAGAAAATCAGAGCAGTGAGGAATTCCTGGTATTCATAGGCAATGTGAAATGAACGATACAGCCAGCAAGGGAAGGTATACAACTTCTCTGTAAAATCTTCGCAATACCTAACATGCCTTGCCCATCAATACCTTCCATCTTTAGACATCCATTGGCAGTCCCATCTCTTCCCTGGTGCTGTTGGGTGCCATAAAGGCCAAAAAGGGGGATTCCTAAAGCCCCAAGTTTAGAACAAGTGGCGTCCTGCTTTTTCTATATAGCTGTTGAGGTTTACACTGCTATGTAGCTGTGTGTTGGAAAGCAGCTGGGATTCAGGAGAATTTTTTTTTTTCCTCTCTCCCAGAGACTGCTGATGCTCAGAAGCCTGAGCATCAGCTACAGAGTGTCCCCTGCTGGAGAAAGGAGAGGAGGCAGGGAAAAGCCACATACAAGTCTGCCTGTCATTGCAATGCAATGCAGGCTCTCTCACTCTTTCACAAAATACAATTAACTCCATCGCCTCTGAGAGCCATTTGTGCATTTGATGAATGGATTATACGTCAGAGGTTCTAGGATCCCTGACCCATCTCAAACATGGCCTTGTTGCTAAGGTGGAGCTCCAGACATGGTTTATCTTGTTAAAATCAGGATAAATAATTCATGGGTGATAAATCCAAAGATGAAAGAGGGTAGTGTGGCATAAAGCTACACGGAGTTGTGATGTCTCTCTAAGGATAACATTATCGTTATACGACTTTTGTGTTTTGTGCTTTCTCTGTTTTCAGATAGCCTGCAATCTTTTGATACTGTGAGCATTCTATGGTAGCTGTCCCATCCTTTGCATGATGCTGGCGGAGGTCAGTCGTATTTGTCTCCCATGTTGTTAGAGCTTCTTTAGTCCCAGCAGAGCAATGCTAACCTAGTTCTTCAGGACTGCTGCATGGAGTCAGGGTTGCAGGTTGCTTCCTTGACTGTGATAAATAGAGCACCCTGGAGATAAATGGACTAGAAGGGGAAAATTCCATGTTATCTTCCACTCTTAACATCGACTTCCACCAGTACTCAACAGAACCAGCAAGGTTTCCTTCAGCTTCACATTGTAATATAAGTCAAAGGTGACTCACACGTTTCTTTTCATATATTTCAATATTTATAAACCCTTGCTGCATGAGGATTTTTATACTACCAACTGACCAATTAAAGGGTTAGTTAACCTGAAAAAATAAAAAGGTGAAGTAACACTTCCCAACCTCCTGCACTTACCTCTGTGGGTGATGCAGTTGCACCATGCGCACAGCCCCGTGCAGTGGTCCTGGGATTTTGGAACAGCAGTGTTCTTCATCTTCTTTCCCAAGGGACACTGAGACTGATTAGAGTGATTATGATTGGTCAGGGTGGTCATGTGTCCATGCTGACCAATAAGAACTGCTCTGATCCATCCCAGCATGGTAGTGCAATGCAGCTTTCAAACCCCAAGACCACTGCACCAGGATGTGTGGATAGTGCAACTGTATCACCCACAGAGGTAAGTGCAACAGGGACTGAGTAGTGGGGAGTGTGTAGGCTGTTCCTTCACCTTTTCATGTTTTTCTGAACAGGTGAACTAACCCTTTAATGGGCTGGTTAAAAAATTCTCATCCAGCAAGTGTTTTATAAATGTTAAAAATACAGTATATTAAAAGTAATGCGTTTGCCATATTTGACTTATATTACAATAGGAAGCTAAAGGAAACCTTGCTGGTTTTGTTGAGTACTGATGGAAGTCAATGTTAATCTTGGTCAGCGTGTTTAGTTGGGTAATGTGGTCATGTACCAACATTGACCAATAAGAACTGCTCTGATCCATCCCAGCTTGAAAAAATAATGCAGTTTTCAAACCACAGTACCACTGCACCAGGCAGTGTGGATGGTACAACTAGATATCCCATGGAGGTAGGTACAGCAGGGATTGGGGTGGGGAGAGGGGGTGTGGAAGGTGTAGTGCAGAGTTCACATCTTCATTTTTTTTTCTGAAAGAGTAAACTAATCCTTTAATTTGCATGCCCATCTGAAACTTTTTTTTTTCTTAGATATAGTAGGAAAAGCTTAGAACCCCTTTTGTTTTTTACTGCAGTCTGGGGCTCCAATAGAGAAATTTTCCTCTTACTTCCTGTCTTGGTGTCAATGATTTAACTAGACAGAAAGTGGAGGGCAATTTCACATCAAGACAGACAGAAAAAAAAATTAATAATACACTTTTAAAAGTGTAGAGAAGGCTACAACTCATGGTTTTATTACTGTCTGTATACTCATGTTCAGTGGTGTATTTAGGTTTTGTGCTGCCCTAGGCAAACACAAAAATTAGACCCCCCCACGGCAGAGAGAGACTGACACCGACCAACACCGGCTACCCCCACCCCCCCTCCCCCTGTGGAGAGAGCCTGACAGTGGCCAACAACACCCCTGCACCACCACCACCCCCCCTCCCAAGAGAGCCTTCCACTAACACACACCCCCCCCCCCCCCCCCCGGTGAAAGAGAAAAAGACACTCACCTTCACAGCTCTGCACAAACCCAAGGAATGACAATCGGGCTCTGCATACACCATCAAGCAGCCAACATCCTCTCCCCGTGCCGCATATGTCCCTTCTTCCAGAGGGCAGTGCTGCCCCCTAAAAATGCCGCCCTAGGCAAATGCCTTGTTTGCCTTGTGGTAAATAAGCCACTGCTCATGTTGCAGATTTTCCTTCATTTCCTCTCTGGTCAAATATTTTGCCCCATGTCAAAAAGTGGGGAGAAACAGAGCCAGTATAGTGA